AATGATGGCCACTACCTAATTTTTAAAGGTAACTTGTCCTTATTTTATGTATATTTTGTGTGCATGTATGTCTGTCCATCATGTGCATGCAGTGTCTGTGGAGGCCAGATGTCAGATCTCCTGAAACTGGAGTTACAGACAGTTGTGAGCTCCCATGTGGGTGCTGGGAATTGAACCCTGCTCCTCTGGAAGAGCAGCTAGTGTTCTTAACAACTGAGCCGTCTTTCCAGTCCCTACAGTATTTTTAGTACTTTGAATACACAAGCTTTTAAGTGATGAGTTCAGTGAACTTGATGTTGCGAGTTACTCAACAGCCTAGACCAGCTGGGTCAGACACACACGATTTAAAAAGTGACTAACATACTTACAGATAAAATATATACTGTATTTGGGTCTTCGGAGCTCTTGAATCAGATAGTCCACGTTCTCCTGAAAACAAAGACCAAATGAAGCATGAGCAGAAGTGCTTCATAAAAAGTAATAAGGGCTGGTAAGATGGTTCAGCAGCTAAGAGCATTTGCTGCCAAGTCTGATGACCTGAGCTGAATCCCAGGCACCCACATGGTGGGAGGGGAGAACAGGTTCCTGCAAATTGTTCTGTGACCTCCATAAATGTAACTTTAAAAACTATTCATTGACTGACTTACTTGGAGTCTAACAGTATGCTGAGATCAAGACTGTACATATATTGGGTAATGAAGGATGAAAATAAAAAGAAATACATTAAATATATTAGGATCTTATACACAGTTTAATATATACACGTATGCTAAATATCAGTCATCTGCATTACTTTGGTTAAATTAAGGTAAAACTAAAGGACGTATGTTGAAATATAGCATAAAATTGTTACTAACTGCCTCAAGCTGCTTATCAATAAATTGCATTCATCTGATCAAATTTCTTACTTAGAACACCAAAATGTGTGTAATTCTTTAAAAACAGGAGAAAATATAACTTAACTATATTCACTTTGGCTTTTGACTTATTGAGGTCTAAAAGTCCTTTTAAGATATAATTTTTAAATTTTATGTGTGTGTGTGTGTGTGTGTGTGTGTGTATACGTACACACTGTTGCCTGTCTGTGGAGGACAGACGCATCAGACCCCACTGGAGACTGAGTTACAGGCGGTTGTGAGTTGTCCAACACAGGTGTTGGGACTCAAACCTGAGTCCTCTGTGAGAGCAGTACACACTCTTAGCCAGTGAGCCGTCTCTCCTAGCCAGTTCTTTTTATATAGTCAAAGCACGAGAACTCTAATCACAGACCATTCTAATGAGCATTTGATCTGTTTGTGATACCAGAATAAATGCTTAAATTTCAAATTAAACCAGCCCTTAAAACTAAAATTTCTGGGGACACAAAGGCTCTGCTACTTCATTGTGTCACTGTTAATATCCTTATTTAAACAACTAAAAGTTTTGTTTAAATTGTGCCATTAGTGCTAAAAAAAAAAAAAAAAGGTTTTAAGAAATCCCAGCACTCGGATGGCATAAACCAAGAGGTTGTGGGTTCAAAGTCAGCCTGGGTGACAAAGCCAGACCCTGTCTGAAAGCAAGCAAATAACTGAACAGAAATGTACAGTGTCTACTCAATGGGGAAAAACAGTTTTCACATTGTCATTTAAACTACAGAAAAATTATCTTTATAAAATTTCTATTGTGTCATTAAGAGGTTTATTTATTGTGTGAGTGTATGTGCAAACGTGTACGTAGGTGTGCATGGATTAGGAGGCTAGAAAGGGTGTCGGGTGTCCTCCTCTACTGCTTCCTGACTTTGAACTTCAGATCCTCTTGCCTCTATTTCCCAAGTGCTGGGATCACAGACATGTGCTACCATGCCAAGTTCACTTTATAATCTTTTTTTGTTTGTTTGTTTGTTTTGTTTTTCGAGACAGGATTTCTCTGTGTAGCTTTGCGCCTTTCCTGGGACTAACTTGGTAGTCCAGGCTGGCCTCGAACTCACAGAGATCCACCTGGCTCTGCCTCCCGAGTGCTGGGATTAAAGGCATGCGCTACCACTGCCCAGCTCACTTTATAATCTTAAAGACAAACTGTTTTTAACAAGTAATTTAAGTCTAACATTACTGCTTGATAGGGCCAAGTAAAAAGATAAAAGATGTGAAGCCAAGAGAGTCTGAGAGCCTGTATACGGCTATTAAAGAGGTCTCCTCATTTTATGTTAGGAGATAACAGACTATGTTGTCTCTAAGACCCCTCTTAATGACCAAAATTTCATTTCTGAAAGCTACAAATATGAAAAAAAAACCACATTAATTTAGCAATTATTTCTTAAGCATCTTCTATGTAGCAGGCATCATGGGAAAAGGATGGACAACCAGATAAAATTTCTGCTATCATGGAGCTTATTATGGTAGGTATCAATCACAAAACCCATATAACTTTGTCAAATAAGTATCACTTGCCTGTAATCCCAGAACTCAGGAGGCAGAGGTGGGGGAGGTGGGGGATTATTGCAGATTTCAGCCAGCCAGGACTACACAGTGAAGTCCTTGTTGGATAACAGACCCCTTCAACTCTGACCGTTTGTAGGGGGACATCTGACCGGCTCAGTAAAGCTGGGAAGATCTGCTTGATGAGGTAAACAAGTTTCAGGCAGAGGGAGGAATCCGTGCAAAGGCTGTGTGGCAGGAGGAGCCATCAGAATGTAAATGGACGGAAAGGTAGTGTGGCTAAGGTGCAGGGTGGCAGAGGCGCCCCAAAGTGATAGGAACTAGACCATGCTGGGCTCTGCAGTCAACAAGGAAGGATTCTGTTTTTACCATAAGAACAATGAGAAGTCACCCAGGGATTTCAAGCCAGGCGACACAATCAGGTTTCCATTTGGGAAAGGACACACGACACAAGCATGATTAAAGCACACTGGGGTTGACAAACGTGAACATGAGGCGAGAGAACATACAGCCAGGCATGGTGGCAGACTCGATCCTAGCACTTGGGTGGCAGAGGCTGGAGAACTGCCACAAATTTGAAGCCAGCCTGGTTTTTAGCATGAGTTCCAGGTCAGCTAGGGCTCCATGGTGAGGCCATTTCAAAACAAAAACAAAAGGAGAGAATTTTAAAAAATAAGACATAGAAATTTTTTTTCCACCCAAAACCCAAAGCAAAACCAAGGGGGGCCGAGAGATGAGACAGCTCAGTGGTTAAAGACATCTGCCACCAAGGCTGACAGCCTGAGTCTGAGTTTGGGACTCACAGGGCCAGGAAAGAACCAACTTCTGCAAGTTGTTCTCTGACCTCCACATGCAGCCTGTGGCACAGGCCACCCTCCCCCACCCCCACTATATATCTTCAGTATAAAGAAGGCAAAGCCAGATTTGCAAGATGATGGACAGAAGCTGAGAAAGGGCTTATGAACGTTCAGTAAAGTGAACAAATAAAGACCAGGAATAAACACGCAGAGGAATGATAAAAAGGCCTCCTGGGCTCCAATGCAGAACTAGACGTGAGCACAGGAAGTTAAATATGTAAAAAAAAGTCCTTTTCTTGCTAGGCCACTGGATTTAATTGTAGGAGTAAGACCAGGCCACTATAGCAATCATTGGATGACTTCTCTTTGCTTTTACGCTAAAGGCATATTCATTCCCAAGCACAGATGGGATTAAAATGATAAAGGTTCAAGATAGTCAGAGCTGTACGAAAGAGAGATGGAGGGACAGTGATGTTTAGTGCTAGGTACCAAGGTCAATCCAGCACTACAGTGATCTAGGTTCCCAGAGTTAGTGGCTTTGGGAATAGCTTTACTCTGAAAAATATCTTGAAGGAAAAACTGGCTGTCAGGGGTGAACCAAGGCATGGAAAGGAGAGGAAGAAGTCACAACTCTGACAAAACAGGGTAATTATGATGCCACAAATGATGGTCACACAAATTTATTTTGCCTTCTTAATGCTTTCAGATCAGTAATTCTGCATTTGCCTGTGGAGACGGCAGCTCAGTTTGTGTGGTACCTTTGTAGGTCGAAGAAAACAAATTGCTTTTAGGTGTTTCATGATCTCTCGATTTTGAGAATCAATTCGTTCGAAGAGGTATACTTCCTTCTGAAGAATCTCTGACTGTGTGTAGACCATACTCACTATACCAGTCTGTAAAGAAAAAGAATGAACTAAGATTACACTAGTCCGGACTAGTAAAAACATGCATCAATAGTTTAGCCGTTTTTTTCTATTATCACTTGGCTAGGTCATTTAAATGTTAATACACGGAATAATATTTGCTGAAGATCCCAAACAGGTAGCGATGTGTGAGAGTAAAAAACCTACTCTCTGAACATGAACAACTCAGAAACTTCTAAAGAGGATTTTCTCCATTCATTCCAAGTTGTTTTTCTCCTTTAAGTTGCGGCCAGCAAATACCCTGTCATTTCAGCTTGAGCCCCAACAATCAACTTTTAAAAACAACGTTGACAGGGGCACCCTCAAGTCTTCCAAGTGTTCCCTGGGTCACCATTAACAACTTCTTGGCAGACACTCTTCCAGGTTTAAGAAAGTCTCTTGGCGCCGGTTAGAGCCGGTTAGACTGCACACCCCCGAGGAAAGCTTTATACAGCTGTGCCCGACAGTGCTGACCATCGCCGGGAATGAAATGCTAAGCCCCGCCGTGGCACGGGACCCGCCACTCAAGGGGGGGCTGCCGTCACCAACCCCGAGCAAAGGCGGACTCACCGTTTCTTTATCCATGAGAAGCACCTTCATGCCGGGCCCGCTGTCCTCTATCATTTTGGAGATATACTGCTTCACTGCAAACACCACGTTCATCGTGGCGAACTGACAGGTGCCCCGCAGCCCTTCCCGCCCCCTTCCCTGGCTGAATTAACCTCAGGCCTGCTGGCTGGGTCTCAGCTGCTTCCGGTCGGCCAAGTATTGGCTTCCGGGAGTCCGGGTCGCTCCGGTCCTGGGAATTGTAGTTCCTCCGCGGAGTCCCGGAACCAGGCTCGGCTGCTAAATTGCCGGCGCCGTTCCCGGCGCGCGCCGCGCGTGGAGAGGAAGGCAGCCTGACAGCTGTCTCGGCCACGGGGACCGGGGAATGTGGCTATGCTGTCTGCCGAGCACCCTTTCTGGAGACCGGCGTGCATGCCATCGCAGCACTGGGCAGGCTGAGGCGGCGGGGTCGCAGGTTCGGGACCAGTCCGGACGGCAGCAAGTTTCCGGATAGCCGGGGCGGGCTGGGTTTTAAAAGTATCCAAACAGACTGGAAGCTGCACCAGGGGAGGGCATTTTGTGTTTACCAGGCCGTGGACAAGATTCGTCTGCTCGACTCCCAGTGTCATTATTGAGGCAGTGACAGTGCCCCGTGTTAGAGCGGAGAGTGAGACTGGAGCAGGTTTTCCGAAGAGAAGGGCGGCTGAAATTGATCACGTGGTCGTTGATGAATGAACAAAGGGAACACCCTTTAGGGGTGCTGCTGGAGATCTGTAGAGGCCTCAGAGACCCCATGAGGGCGGGGAGCTTCCGACCCCCACTCAGGACCGCCGGGACCGCGAGCCCACGGTGCCCGTGGCACCGGACATCGCTGACTTGCAGGGGCGTCGAGTTTCCAGGGACCCTGAGATGGTCTGGGGGCAGTTACTCATTGAACCTGAGAATATTGAAAGGGAAACATTTTTTATCTAAGAAGCAGTGAAAGATTAGCAAAAAAATGATCCTATTTATTTATTTATTTATTTATTCATTCATTTATCTATTATTTATTCATTTATTTATTTGTTTGTTTATTATGTATACAGTGTTCTGCCTGCATGTATGCCTGCAGGCCAGAAGAGGGCACCAGGTCTCATTACGGATGGTTGTGAGCCACCATGTGGTTGCTGGGAATTGAAGCCAGTGCTCCTAACCTCTGAGCCATCTCTCTCTGCAGCACAATAAAATGGATCTTAAAGAGTCAGTTTCCAAAGAGCGGCTGCAGATCACACAGGTAGGTCTATCACCATACTTCTCAAAAGGGTGGTTTTTGTTGCTCCCCCTTTTAGGTTGGAGAATTGTAAAACCAGGAAGACAACTGCAACAAATCAGTGACTCTTAGTGCTTTAAACATTTTTTTTTTTTTTTTTGGTTTTTCGAGACAGGGTTTCTCTGTGAAAAACCAA